AATACATCTTTGGAAAGGGATAAATCAGAAAAAACATCAAAACAAAATGAAGAAAGCCTAAGGTTCATGTGGGATACCATCAAAAGGAATAACCTGCATGTAATCAGAATTCCAGAACAGGATGAGACAAATAAAACCACAGAGAAAACTGCCCAAGATTTGTTGGAAGAGAATTTTCCTGGTATGATGAAAGATGAGAATATATCCATTTAGGAAGTCCAACAAAACCCAAACTAGACTGACCCCAAAAGAAAATCACCAAGACATATCATCATCAAAATCACCAAAACCAAAGACAAAGAAAAGAAGCATGAGAGCAGCACAGGAAAAATGAAAAGTTACCAATAAGGGGCAACCAATAAGACTAAGCTCAGATTTCTCAGCAGAAACCATGCAGGTAAGAAGACAATGGGGTGGTATATATAAAACGCTGAAAGAAAAAAATTTCCAACCAAGAATTATGTACCGAGCAAAACTGTCCCTCAAATATGGTGGTGAAATTAGAACATTTCCAGAGAAGCAGAAATTAAGGAAATTTGTTAAAACCAGAACAACCTTACAAGAGATGTTAAAGGGAGTCCTCTGGACAGAGAAGCAACAACCACTGACCATTAACACACGTGATGACATAACCCAGAAACAAACTCATCTATGGGACTATCCAAAGTAATTAAGTCTACAAGATTGCAAACAGGGAACCAGAGACATCAATTGACAAATGAGGACACCTACAAACCAAAAAGAAGGGAAAAAAAAAAAAAAACTGTGTCATTACAGAACTTCTGGATGGTGGGGAAGTCAAGAAAACTACAAGATAGAACGGACTGTTCTAAACTTGGGAAGAAAACTATAAATCACAGGGTAACCTCAAATAAAAATTATAAACCTTCACATCAAAATAAAAAAGAGGACCAGCACAAATACTTAGCAAATACGAAAACAATAGCATGGGAGCTCTGGTAGCATAGTGCCTAAGGCACTTGACTGCTAATCAGAAGGCTGGTGGTTCAAATCCACCAGCCACTCCTTGGAAGGAAGATGGGGCAATCTACTTC